GGGAGCCATAAGGGCTAGGCCAAAAAGGGTGAAAGAGTCCTAGGCGTAAGATGCCTAGGTCTAGAGCTATAGAGCTAGGGCTCTAAGCTGTGAAAGGAAGGTCAAAAAGAGCCGTCATATCATACTATGTATGTAGTATGAGCCAGTGGGCGGAAGAGAGCCGTCTGTTCCGTCACAATTATAATAATTATATATATTTTAATAATAGTTGTAAGAAAACTTGGGCTACGGCCGGAGGACGTCTCAAATATCTTCAAAATCACCTCTAGTTTCTAGATGGTATAATAAAATTCAAAGTCCGATTAATCATTGTTCCAAGAGAGATCGATTTTGGTGTCCCGTTTATATCGTCCACACCAAGAAGAGCTCAGCCGGATCCATCTCTCTGGTTTCTGCCACGTTCCATCTAGTCCTTAGTCGGCGGCATTCCTGAATTTTAACCAGCCATCGTAAAAGTTCCGCAGCCTAACCACCTCCTCGTTCCTCGTTCCTCGTTCCACATCGCAACAGTCCTTGAATTAGGGTTCTTAAGCTTTTAGGATCCTAAACAAGACACCCTACATTGCTTTATCATGGCCACTAAGACTCATGCTAAAATCTTTATGGATACGGATGAATAAAATCATAGAGGAATGTCAGGAGCAGGTGAACGATGCCAAATAATCTTGAGTTGAAGATTATAAAAGCAGTTGGTATACAAAGTTTGAAAAAGTGCAACGGATGTTATGTATAGTGTAACGTACATCCGAGTCATGTATATAATATGTACACTGGGTTCACTAAATTGAATTGAGGATGAGAAGAAACGGCTTTTGGGAGATGGGGTGGACTGCGGTTTTCTGGAGTTGTAAGGCGCCGGAGGTGTAAGCGCCGAGTGTACAACCGCGGGTGATGCCAAAGTTCAACCGCTTAACAACACCAGACGGATTATGCCACATGGCAGCAGATATGATCCATGCAGCAAGCAAAGACAACATCATCCAACATTGAATATTTCTCAAGATAACATCAATTCCTCTAACGATAGAATCTTAACGCGGAGACGTCTTCGAAAATGCCAAACGATGCTACTTTACCAAGGGGCGATAACCACCACTCCATACCTCATTACAGTTGTATCAGACAAGGTAGTTGGACTTAATCCCTCTCGATCCATTTCTAACAGCGAAAGATCTTGACCATAGATCTACAGGGCATGTCTCAATTTAAGATCTGTGCAGCAAAGTAGGTCGAGAATGTTCTCTATCCAAGACAAGTTACAAATGCTGACTGGCTTTCTTTTCGAGACATTACCTGAAGCTATGATAGTGTTAGTACTAGTCAATACATCCATCTATGCCTCACCGTATTGAACACAAACAGTTTCCTACCTTCTGAGAAGACCTTAATTCACCTCAAGCTAGATAAGCAGCTTTCGAATCGATTTATGATTCCAGACTCCTTTTGGGACTCTGTATCTCAAGAAGCAAGTGGATTCTTCAGATGTCAAGAAAGCAGGAATGTTGACGATGTGTTAGAAGCCTATAGTAAGTCACCCCTATCTGCGTAAGACAAAGGGACTGATATTGATTCCAGCCACACTCTTCCGGGTTCTGATTAAACAACCAAATATTGGGTCAAGCAGCTGTAAGAACGATGGCATTCTATATACATGGCATAAATTTACTTTCCTAACCTCCTGGTTGCCTTCCAACAAGCTTGTTGTACTCTGCTTTGATATGCCATCTCCTTTTCAAAATATCTTGACTGCTTCTTTAATCAATTCTTCAACTCGTCTGGAGATCCGAGATCCGTATTCAATTCATGTTTTATTACTATGGGAGATAACAAAGTTATTTGATTTTGCTTTATGGTTATCGCGTGATCTTGCTAGAGATTTAGAGAAGGTATGTATAAACCTACAATTGATGAAATATCTAACAATTTATAGAATCGGATATTCAAAGAAGATCCTCAACCAGATTATAATCGAATGCACGAGCTTGCAAGGCATGCCATCCATACATCCGAAATGTTAGAAATAACACTTGAAACGTTGATGGCCATCATTCGAGAGCACGATCTTTTCTTCGACGACAATACCACACTACCGAAGTCTATCAGAACGATATCTAGACAAACAATGAGAGATCTACAATTCCAGAACACCATTATCAAATCTCTTCATTCAAGATCAAAGGCTCTTGAGGACAGACTTCGTAATGAGATCAATTTGGTTAACAAACTATCTTCCCAAATAATAAGCTCTATCTAACAGACGAACAGGCCTTTAATATTGTAGCTCAATATGATAGTCGTATCTCCGTGCGTCTTTCGAAAGCAATGCAGATGGATAGTTTCTCTATGAGAACCATTGCAATCTTAGGACTTCTCTTCCTACCCGGAACATTTATCTGTGTTAGTTATTACCTGGCCAGGGTAGGGCTAACAAATGCTAACTGGATATAGGCAATATTCAGTACTAGCTTTTTCAATTTTTTTCCGGGAAACAGTACAGAATCACAACGCTGGCTGGTGTCAGATAAGTTTTGGATTTACTGGGTAGTGACAGTTCCATTAACTTTAGTGATCATGCTATTATGGTTCATATATCAGCCCTTGTACCGAAATCAAAAATGGGATCGGAGATGAGTAGGTATGCAAGTGACTGATATTTTTAAGAATGAGTGGAAATATATATGGCAAGATGAATAAGGGAGTTGGTTAAAACAGGTTGTGTTGGACAATGATGTGTTTATATTTATAATATTTTTGTGGTTAATATAAAAAAGCTTGATTATAACTTAGGAACTTGTCTTTTTGTAAAAGGATTACGAGTATTAATACAACACTCTTCCAAAGATCGTAAGATGCTGATAAATTGACTAGTAGCATTACAACCACAGACCAAATTAGTCCTAGTTACGAAAATAGCTTCTGAAGACCGTAGAAAAGTCTTCGGGATAAGATGCCTTATAGCTAACCAACAACTGTTGTATATTTTCCCGATTGTTTAAGACTGCTAGTTGCAGTCTGAGAGCAGTCCATTCATTCCTATTCAATCTGTCTATATCAGCGCCCTGGCTAAAAAGTAGCCTTATTACCGCCTCGTGCCCGTTCTCAGCAGAACATAAAAACGGGGTTCGATCATCATGATCTTTCGAATCAATCTCGACTTCGCCTATTCAGCAACAGCTTCACCACCACATCGTGTCCTCTATCAGAAGCTACTTGAAGTATATTGTCAAAATCACCCCCTTCAGCTATCGCATCCAGCAACAGCTTCACCACCGCCTTGTGCCCTCTTCTAGAAGCTATTAGAAGTGCATTGCCATAATCACCCTCTTCAGCTTTCACATTCAGCAACAGCTTCACCACCGCATCGTGTCCTCTATCAGAAGCTGCTTGAAGTGCATTGCGATAACGACCCCCTTGCGCATTTACATCAGCTTTCGCATTCAACAATAGCTTCACCACCGCCTCGTGTCCTTTATAAGAAGCTGCTTGAAGTGCATTGCGATAACGACCCCCTTGCGCATTTACATCAGCTTTCGCATTTAACAATAGTTTCACTACCGCCTCGTGTCCTATTGCAGAAGCTGCTTGAAGTGCATTGCCATAATAACCCCCTTGCGCATTTATATCAGCTTTTGCATTCAGTAATAGTTTCACCATCGCCTTATCTCCTCCTGCAGAAGCTGTTTGAAGTGCATTGCCATAAAAACCCCCTTGTGTATTCACATCAGCTTTCGCATCCAGTAATAGCTTCATCACTATCTCGTGTCCTCCTGCAGAAGCTGCCTGAAGTGCATTTCCAAAAAGACCCCCTTGTGTATTCACATCAGCTTTCGCATCCAGCAATAGTTTCACCACCGCTTCAGTACCACGTTCCACTGACCACAAGAATGGCGTTGTATCAGTTGAATCTCTTGAATCAAGCTTCACCGACTTATCTAGCAATATTGACATCAAACTATCGAGTCCAAAGTATGCTATCGGAAACACATTATCCTTCCATATAGGCCTATCTCCATATTCATTTTGTTCCCAATAGATTGAAAACCATAACAAGAAACAATTTGAGTTAACGTTGCAGCTAATCAAACCCAATTCCTTATCATTTTGGTTTATGTCCTCAGCTTTCCTAAAATGCACAAACCAATTTTGTGCCGAATAGTCTAGAAAGTAATTTTCTGTGAGATATTGATCTATCTCAGACTCATCTTTTGGTGGGGGTAATATCTTAAACTCATTGAACGATAGATACCACAAACAACATTTTGCCAAAATAAGATTTGAAACCTTTGCTTCCAGTGAGTGCTTCCAAGATCCGCATATCGATGTTGTTGTATTTGAGTTTCGAACAAGATATTCCTTTGCAGTCTGATGAATTAAGAAAACCTTTTCGTCAACAATATTGACAAATAAACCACAGAGGTCTCGAATGGTTATCTTGAACTGTTCAACCTTTTGAATCTCAAGATCCTGATACCTGTGTATTTCATTCGTGATATATAAGGCCACTTCCATTTCTTTTAAAGAAAGTGCCCTTGTTGCTCCTGTAATGATATGCAATAATCTCTTAGCATCTTTGGGGTTTTTGCTCCTCTTTAAGATACCCTCATAAGCCTCTTGTATAGTTCCTGGCAATTCTCTCAAAAGAGTATTCACTTTCTTGATATCGATTCTTGGTTCGGATTTCATACTTTCAAAAATGAGGTGTAACCATAGATAAGTCCGATTATTCACTTTTGATAGGCCTTCCAGCAGCAGATCACGAGCTTTTACACTCGCTATAACCTCATTTTTAGACATCTGGTCCACTCGAGCTTCAATAACGCGATCAATCTCTAGACAGATTTTATCCAGATGCTTCTCCCCTTCAAGTCGTATACTAGGGATGTCGCTGATCAATTCTCGAAATTCATACTCTATATCCCAGTATGGCCGACTAGTTACCAAGAATTGAAAATCGTTCTTTGAAAGTTTATTGGGCGTTTGAAGTTTCTCGAACCCCTTGAGTTTTATGATGAGATTCTCTTGAGATGTGTATTCGCATTCATCCAGAGCATCAATTAAAAAAACAATCTTTCCACACTCGGGATCCATTGCAATATTTTGGACAATCCTCCATAGAACTTCCAAGTTTTTAGAAAGAAGCGTCCTATTCTCTCGGAAAGAAGGCATGGCATGTTTGATCAACTTTGCTCCTTTTTCTGAAGTGAAGAGCTGATGTAACAAAGCCGACAATGCACTTGCAAGGCTTCGTTGCTCTTCAGATGTATCTTTGAAAAAGAAATAGCAAATAACTGTTCCATTCAATTCCTGTTCAAGTAGACGTTCATCAACAAGTGCCTTCGATAGTACCGATTTACCACAGCCGGGATCAGCAGTTACCCATAGCAAGCGGGATGTTGTTTTATCTCTCCAGTCGAGAAATTTTGGATCTTCCAAGCACCAAAGACATGTGTCTTTTTCTCGTTTTGGATTTAAGTTCTTTTGGGTCTCATAGTTTGAAGTCCGAAATGATTGAAGGCATTGTTCTTCCTCATCTGTTCGTCGCCATTGTTTGAGTTGTTGTACAATCTTGTCCGTAACTACAAATATCAATTAATTATATTACTTTTTGAATTGCAAAGATATGAAAGGGAAAATTTTGAATTTGTCATTGAGTTATTCTTCCAAAGCTAGCATAATGCGAAGATATACTTGTTATGTAACAAAACAGAATTTGGCCTGGGCCACAAAAATCAGGTGTTACTGACCAAGTTCGATTGGGGACATGTTCATCACAGCTTGTCCCGGTATGACTCTCAGAAGTTCCTTCGCATATGCTGCCGCAGTTGCTGCAGCGTATGGTTGCCATATTTTGTTCTTATGAGAGTCGGCATAATCACAAATTCCTCGAATAACTATACATGGAAATGTGTCCATTAAGCCTAACAAAATCAGTTAAAAGTATTACTTTTTTAACGATAATCTTGGATTTACCTGCAGCTTCCATTTCGAAGCATATAATGTTCTTCTCCTTCGCCCACAAATCTCTCAACATCGAGTCCTTCATTACCTGATCCGCTGATCCAATAGTTCCATAATGTAGCACCGGGGATGTGTTATGCCGTTGAACTCTTTTAACAAGATTGACATCAGCCGGGCCACAGCAAGCCTTACATGACTTCTTTCCATTAACATGATTAATATTTTGCTTGAAAAGCCGGTCTTTCTCGGATCCTTGGTACTCAAACTTGCGGGCCAAACCCGGATTGGCAGACACCATTTCCGTAAGATGTTCTGAAAGATTATGGCCACCTTTTCGTACGCATTGCTCCTGAAGCATGCCAATTGCATTGAGCAAAATACTCGGTGGTTTGTTCAACGTTCCCGTCTGAAAGAATTCCCCTCCCTAGAGCGATTTCCCAAAATCATACTGCACAACAGCTTGGCTTGATTTGGAATGCAAGCTGATCACAACATCTCCGAGTCTGATGTCTCCCTTTTCCTCGACTTCTTCTTCATCTTCATCATCGTCTTCGTCTTCATCTTCATCTTCGGAACCTTTCCCAGCATTCAAGTCTGCTTCGATACAAGACGGTGCTCCACCACCAACACCAACCATTAGACCAAACCTAATTGTTTTGAAGCTGCGAAGCAAATCTTTCGCTACTATCGCAGCCGATACCTTGCCTGTATTTTCGGCAGGCAAACAAGCAATCACAACATTATGCGATCCGATCTTGCCTAGAAGATAGACATTTGTGTCTCCAGGATCTGCAGCAGATAGTACTGGATGTTCTTCATCCAACATCGCTCCTGCGACCACTAGCTCGGTCTGGGGCAAAGCACATATCCACCCTACAGTATAATCGTCGTGTTTAAACAATGGAGAAGTTTCAGCCATATCGGTTCAGCCTCGCGAAAAAAGTCTGTTCCTAGGATTCTAATTTATGTTTAGTATTAGCTATAGTTGAGTAGAATTGGAAAAAGGAACCTTTGTTTGATGTTATTCTGGTGTTTCTTTTTAAAATAAAAAGTTGGGAAAAAACAGAAGTTTGTTAAGTTCGTTTTAAAAGGTTGCACCTTTTGTTTTTTCTAAATGAGTCTGCTATTCCAGTGGCTATACTCGAGTATAATGCGACTGCAGGGATTGTTCAGCTCACATTCTATTTTTGTATAGCAACAACTTTCCTAGCCATTTCTTATAAATTTTCTATTCCAATTGCACCAAGCTATAACAACAGGATCTTTTTGATGGAATGCTGCGACAGCTTTTGATGTAGCTTTACATTGATATGCCATTTAATGACGCCATGTCTCTGCAATCAACCTAACGCCCCCAAAAACAAAATCCTTCCTACCCAATCAACAACCACAAAGCACTTCCAGCTCTTCACCACTGCACATCATAATCCTCCTTCCCCATGATCAACTTTTCCAAATTCAACCTCGCACTCCAAACAATCATATCCGTAACTCCCTTCTCCCTCGTCCCCTTCGCATCTCCGTCCCCAAAACTATTGATATCGCTATCTTTATTCATCGCCCCTGCAGGCCGATGATGCTGAAATAGTTGCGGCTCTACGGAATAGCATTTCATGTCTAGATATCCATCACGGCACAGAAAAGCAATTGCGTTATCGACGGCGAGATCCGCTCCTCCTTTCACGGCGAGCGCCATGAGGATTTTCTGGGCTCCGCGGTAGGAAACGCCGTATCCGAAGGTACAGATGGGGGCGCCGGCCTTGTGGACTATTCGGGTCTTTTCTGGATAATCTGCGAGGAGTTTTAACGATGATTGCGCGGATTTGGGGGCGACGGTTGGATCGTTTGGGATTATGTAGAGTTCGTCTTTGGTATTTTTGTTGGAAGTGGGGGGGAGCTCATCGCCGCAGTGTCCGGGCCACAAGACATCCCAGTCGTCGCCGTAGGGAGAGTGTTGGCGCGTGGAGAGAGGGATGTGGGATAGGGTGCGGATTCCCTTGGCGTATTCGGGGAGTTGAGTTAGGAGCCGGATGTCCCAGTCTACGTCGTCTTCCATGATGAATGCGGAGGCAAGTTTGTTTTCTACGATTCTATATGAAGGTAAGGGCCATTAGCACAAACAACGATAATGTAGCGTGGGAGTGAAATGAGAGCAGACGGTATGTACGTACCTACGGATTACATTCATGTGACCCCTCCAAGAACCTATTGCCCCGTCTTTTAGAGCAAGTCCCTATGTCCAAGCGTTAACCCTAATCCTAGCTATCGGTTGCTTGTGTGGATGTAGATGACATACCGGCGGCCGGGCTTTATCAGATATCTCATCGCCTTTCATTCCATCTACAAACTCCACTTCAAAACCTGTCAAAGAGGCAGACAATACCATCGCATCCCGCTTATCTGAGCGCTCTCTCAGCCCTATGACGAATACTTCCTCGAACTGGTTTGATACTGTGTTAGCAAGACATGTTTATATAGAAAAGACGTGAGGAAAATGAGAAACACATACACCAAGAGTCCCATTACTCGCCCGGCCTATTTCCGAAGTGGTATCGGCCGGTCTTAGCTTTTTATCTGAAGTAGCGGAGAGATAGTTGGGTTTGCTTTGATAGTCCGGCGACATGCGAGACTTGTCTGAATAGTCTAACCATGTTGAGGATGTTGAGGATGTTGAGGATGTTTCTGTTCGAGTTGAGAGAGAGAGGAAAATGATCAGGGTGAGGGCAAAACATGCGCCAAGAATATATGGGCGGGAGCTCGAGGTAATCATGACCATTCTACTACGCCATATACTAATTCAGAGGGCTGGGAAAGATGATGGTGGCAGAAAGATCACAATGGAAAGAAACTACCGGTAAGCAGAATTTCAAAAAGTTCGGAGGATGAAGAAAGGCTGAACGGAACCGCTCCATATTGTAACATAGTTTAGGGGAAAATCCCTAATCTTGCATGATGTATTCACAGTGGAGCTCATCATTCAGGGATTAACTTTATTAAAGTGTGATAAGGATTTCCGAGGTATTAGCCATTCTTGTTACCTTGAGCGCTTGGCGGAAAAACCCTAGGCGCTAACCGCACCATCTACCTATTACCTACCCTGTTTGACAGCGAATGTGCGAAACAGCGAATTGGAACAAAGGACTTGACCCGGTAAAATAGCACCGAGCCAGGGTTGGGAATTTGCTTGTAGGATTATCGGGTCGACTAGGACGGCTAGCACGAGCCGCTTGGTGCTCCTTGCCAAAAACCTACTTTTCTCGAGCCGAAGTCAGGGGTCATGGCTTGAGGCTTGAGCATGGCAACATGGATATCAATACAACCAACCAACTACCCGTACTTACTGGTATAAATTAAGTTGCAAAACTCATAGACATACCTATGTTGTCCAACTTCCTTGCGCCATTAAAGATTGTCTTTCCCCTTTTATTCAAATTTCAACACCCGACATGGTCAGCAATAAATCCGCAATTACTATTTCATCAGACGGACCGGGGTATGAAACAGATCCTACACCTTCGCCACAATCGATGAAGTAATGCGCCAAGGTTGGAGAATCACGACGCGCCCGTAATAGAACAATTATGACTCTTCTTTGATTAAGATAGTAGGATCGCGCTTGAGGCGGTTGCTGTAGTTCCACTCTGCCCAAAATTAGCATCTTCATCAAGTACTCCGCATTTCTGGTTCTTTTCCACATGTTGAAGGTTTCATGTATTCTTTTCATTGCTTCTCGACTGCTCGTACAATTTTTCTCTCGATAGTTTCATAGTCTTGTATACATCAAAATATTTTTCTTCTTCCACAGAGATGGCCCAGCCATGGACATTTGAGGCTCCAGTTAACGTCAGTGCAAGTTCTCCTGTCAACCTTACATGGAATCCACGAACCCTCAATTCCGGCAACTATGGAAACTTTCTTTTGAATCTATGGCTCTTGCGCAAAGATGCACAAGGGGCCACATTAGTTAAAGAGCATTTGCCTTACCTTCTTGCTAGTAAGTTAATCTCAATGCATAACGCAACACTACACGTTGCAGAAGAAACTTACTAACAATGCCCAAGGTGATCACTACGTGTATAACTATACCGTTCTATGGACACCCACGCTCGACGACATCGATGCCAACGTCCCAGAAGCCGGATCTCATCAATTAGCTTGGGAGCAAAGCCAAAGTAACCCAGACCACAATCCATCAAACACATCATTCAAGGGGTGGTCAAGAGGATTTCACATCAATGCGCCTATCTCCTTGAGCTCTTCGTCAATACCATCCATAACATCAACATCCTCCGCTCCATCATCAACCTCAATATCTCCATCCACTGCCCAAGAATCCAGCTCCTCTCCAACCAAAACCAGCACCCCCACCATAATCGGTCTAGTAATTGGTCTCGTCCTTCTCCTCCTTATCTCTATATGCGCAGCACTCTGGGGCGTGCGAAAGTATCGACAAGTACAGAGGAGAAATGCACTTTCCACAGAGTTACCGATGCCGATGGACTATTCAATCGTGCCGAATTCGAAAGTATATTATAACTCATCACAGAACTCCATGTCAGACCCGATGCCAGAAGTAAGAGGTGAAAGGTATGGGTATTCGCGGAGAGATGTAAAGCCCGCGGAGCTATCTGCTACTGTTAATGTAGCGGAGCTCTAATATGTGTCTCATGTTCGGACACTGGGGGCTTGGGGTTGTGGCTTGGGATGGGATGAGGGATTGAATGTCTAATTAGGAAGGGGATTTACAGAGGCAAATTGAGAATTTGTATGGAGTGTGACCATTTATTCTAATGTATATAGATAGACACTAATGACTCTGAATATGGTGTCGACTGCGCTGAATGGGTTTCACATTCATATACGGGGTTCCCGGCCACATATAGGCGCGGTTTTCTTTAGTCTACCCAAGTAATATATTTAATCAATCAATTACTAGCTAGCTTAGAACCTCACATTGAGTCTTTCACACAAAGAGAAGAATAGAGAAAGTTAAACACACTATCAAACCTCTCACCCATCCCATGATCTCTCTCAGATGATTGGTTACATGAGGAAGTATAAGTTCAACGCCACTACATGTATCATGTGAATATTCTCGAGTACATCTGATGAACTATAGCACGAATACGCATTATTTACACTATTATTGAAGAGCTTCATTTCCTTAGTGTACAGTGCACTATTGTCATTATTGCGCTGTATCTTTTTAACAGTCGTGCTATTATATCACAGCAGGGTACATATTATATATATAACTACTGGACATTTATTTATATACTATATAAACTACCATGAAATTCAAGTCCAAACCCAACTCCAACTCCAACTTCAACTCTATCTCCAAACCCAATTCCAGCTCCAGCTCATCTCATCTCATCACCCTAAAGACTAATATCATATGACTAACCAAACATTATCTATCATCTATCATCTATTCTTCATTCTTCATTCTTCATCCTGGATTCAGAATCCTGGAACCATTTATCATCATCAACAACACCAACTTATCCCAGCATCTAAAAACTCCGTCCATTCATCATCTACTACAGATCTATACATCTATACATTCATATATCTACACATATATTTCTACACATGTATCTCTGCACATCTACACATCTACACATCTACACCTCCACTCTCCTCATATCTCCTCATATCAGCTCATATAAACTCGTAAAAGAAATATACATATACATAATCATACAACAAACTACCCAGCGCCCAGCGCCCAGAGATGCCAAATCTGTCCGAGATTATATTATGATACTCGAGTACATCACATTATACTATACTATACTCCATCCCAGTGTAGTGCAGTGCATTCTCTTGATTAAAATAACTTACTGCAGTGTAAGCCTGTACTAAACATCTCCATCTCCATCTCCCCCTCTACAAACAATCCTCAATCCCCAATCCCCAATCCCCAATCCCCAATCCCCAATTCCCAATTCCCATCTCTCACACTCACTCCAATCCCCCATTCTCCATCCAATAATGAGGACTGAGTCCGTGTTAGGACCCAGTGACTACCAATCAAAAGGAGTAAGGAGTAAAGAGTAAGACAAGATTTATATTTGAGTCGTGATCTCTTGTTGAGATATCCCTACTCTATACGAGTATTGTTCGTAGATATCTACTTTGATACTTCTGAGATGAACGCTAAGACTATAGGCGATTTTCTCTTACTGATATCTAGCATTGAAGCGGCTACATTTGAGGACACCATACTTTTACCGGGAATCAAAATCATATCACATAACATCACAATACGCCTATAAATTTACATAAACAATTTTATTTAACTATGAAACAAGAATGCAAGTACTGTCTTCGCCCATCTGGCCAACCCCTATGTCATTATCGACCGAGAACCTTTCTGCAAAGGAAAAAAAGAAATCAAATAACGCAATTGTGTCCACCATAGAGCCTCGCTCGATCATAACATCCACGTCGTCTATTCATTTCACCACCTATCCATCATCATTCCGGTCCACCATAGCATTCACAAATTCATCCACCAAATCCCTAATAATTGTGAAAGAGAAATCCACAATTCACTGTTGAAAAAAAAAGAAAGAGCGCTGTGCTCAAGTAATCCTACAAAAAAAGAAGCTTGTGTGTCAGTGGCCAAATAAGTAAAACAAAAAGCTGTAATGTAAACGGCAAAAGTCCAAAGATACGAAATTCCAGTACTAGCATAAGTGGGGTTTAAATCCTCGGATGCAAGTCCGGCGATTTGATATCTCTAATGAACGTGCCATCAATACAAAAAGGCGTGTGTCTGATACAATATAATCCCCAATATCTGATGACGGTGTGTATGAAGACTAGGCCATGCAGATGAAGGAACTATGTTCATGTTTGAAGTTGCGAATATGAAAACCTATTCTGTAACGTTAACCTGCGCCTGGTGGATGGACAACGAAGTGTGACACGTCACATCATTTGAAATCGGCTTGAAGTCGCTTGTTAGATGTGTGGCGAGCAATTTCTTTCAAGCATTCAAGGTAGTCCTCATTTCCCAGATGCTCTGGAGAACGACGGAAAGATTGGCCGAGATGAACACGTGAGCGATTCTCTGGTGTGGTTGGGCTAGCAATGCCTCGAGGTGAAGTAACCATTGAGGATTTACTGGTAGCTGCCATGCTGACCATAGCAGGAGCGAGCGATGCAGCAGCCGAGCCGCGATTCTGGGGAGGAACAATGCCCTGAGCATTAGCTGAAGAGACATGAGCAGGTGCGGCAACGGCCGAATGAGCTACAGGTTGAAGGTTTAGCAAATTCTTCAAGATTTGATTCTTTTGTACGGCACTAGAGATAGTCAGCAAGAATAGATTGTTAAATATGAGATATTTTATATACCTGCTCGTGCTTCTAACACGTTCACCGAAGCTAGATTTACTCTTTGGAGAACCGTCTTGTGTTGTTGGAGTGACAATTAGATTCTCCTTCTCGTTACCCGACTGAGTACTTGTAGAACTTCGATGCTCTGCACGCCGAGCCCATGATCTAATGCTCTTGTCATCATCGGCATCATCCCCATTCATATATGTTGGTGTGACAGTCCCTTGATTGTTTTTGATTGGAGAGTCCGACGCAAATATTTCACCTAAAAGCGCAGGCGTATGCAGCTGGGCATTAGAAGCTTGGACTGTCTCGTAAGATGTCGATGCTTGTGGTTCATTTGAAGCAAAGATATCACCCAAATCGTCAGATGTATGTGGGCGGATACTAGGGTGAGTTTGAGCTTGTTCGGCCTCGTAAGAAGATGCTGATGAATTTGCTTCCTTGAAAGCAAAGATATCACCGAGGTCTTCATGTGGCAATGAGCGAGTACTAGCAGGTTTTGTGACTTGCTTGGATGCTGATGCATATGGTTCATTCAAAGCAAGGATGGTACCCAAAACCTCAGATGTATGTGGACGAATACTGGGAGAAGTTGGAGCTTGGTCAGCCTCGTAAGAAGATGCTGATATATTTGGTCTCTTCGAAGCAAAGATGTCACCAAGGTCTTCATGTGCTAATGAGCGAGTACTAGCAGATGTTGTAACTTGTTTTGGTGCTGATGCCTTCGATCCTTCCGAAGCAAAGATAACAGCCAAGTCCTCGGATGTATGCTGACGGATCATGGAAGGGTTTGCAGTTTGTGTAGGCTCATAGGCGGATGTTGATTCAACCTGATCTTCCGATGCGAAAATAGCACCAAGGTCGTTCCGCGTTAACAAGCGAGCGGACGATGTGAGTTGCTCGGCTGGCAAACTGTGAAAGGTTACAGGCAAACTACGTTGAGGTCCTTGGAGTGTTGCAGGTTCTTTGTCTGGGCCCAAATACTTTTGGGGAGTCTCCGCAAATACATTGGCGAGTACATCAAGTCCTTGAGCATCAGCCGAAAGCTTGCGAGAGATCTTGACAATGTTGCCAGATGTACCACTATGAGCGCCAGTAGCAGACTCGCTGGCGAGAGACTGGGTGGTTAAGTTGAACGCTGACATTGGCCCGTCAACTCTTGCTCGAGCATCAAGAGAATTGTGACTAACAGAGTTGCGCATAGGACTATGCCATGGTGACGCATATCTTGTCACACCTGATTCACCCGATACATTCTCGAACATCGATTGGCATTTGTTGAGATAATCTTCCGTGGTGAACGAGGTTTGGTTGTTATAGTTACCACGAACAGGTGAATTATGCATTATGATTTGCCTACCAACATCAAGTCTTGGACCTTGACGAGTAGTACCATGATTCGAAAGACTGTTTGCTGAACTGCCAAAGTACTCTTTTTGAGCAAGAGATCTCTCGGGGTCATGGTTTTGAGTATGTATTCGGACGTAAGGCTGAAGGCCTACATTGTTTGGATTGGAGACAGGACCATAAGGGATCGATGCCATCTGAGCAGTACCGTTTGGATGCGTATCGGATCTTCGGAAAGCTGGCAAGGAAGCTGTGTGAGTTTGCAATTGTGGAACAGGCATTGTTTGTGATCTTGGCATGCTGATCATGCTGGAACCAGCGGCAGAATCTTCCCAACGAGTCTGACAATTACTCATGAGTCGGGCCAGTCTTTGAGTTGTATTTTCTGGTGTGGCTGGTGGTGATGTTCGACCTCCGGGACGGGGATCTGTTACTCTAGCGAACTCCTCCCATTCGGCAGCGCTGAGATCTAAGCGGCAGCCACGAGGTTGAAAAGGTGGCGCCATTGCTGCCGTGGCAGGTAGTCGAGAGCCAGGTCCAGGCTTAGCCGTGGTAGCCCGCTGAACAGTGGGAGAATCAGTACTTTGCGTGGTGTGGGCTGCTGAGCTTGCATAGGCGACCGATGATTCTTGGCTGCGCACGATCGTGCTTGCATTAGAGAAGGCAACAACTGGACTGCGAGTCTCATTGCTGTTAGATGGAGCATCGAGGGAGCTTCCAGCATCGACAGACGTTTGAGATAGAGCTTGCTCATTTTGGAAACTGCGTGACTGGTTACGCTCCGACTGATGCAAATTTGACATTCTCGCAATTTCTCCAATAAGAATTTGACGCTGAGTTGCCCAGTAAGGAACTGATTGTAGTGATTGGCGAGCGATATGATCTTCCAGCATCATGAGATGATCCCGATGTTGTTGAAGAGTCTGCTCACTGGAGGCCATTTGCAATGGTATCATTGGAGGCATCGAAGCTTGCTGAGTATGACCTTGATGTGATATCATTGAAAACAATTGGCCATTTGGATGTTGCATCATGGGGACTGGGAAGTTTGCCGGAGGCATTGGGAAAGGAACAGGCCCATGCATCGGGTGTGACATATGGTGTCCTGGAGGTCCACCTAGCATAGGAGGGCTAAATGGTGGATTACCAACCAGCCCGGAAGGAAATCCGTTAAGGGGTTGAGGAAAGGCCGTAGGAGGAAAACACATTTGGTTATTGACCATCATGTATGGACGAGTAGGATCAAATTGAGCAGGGTGGGAGACTCTGACTGGTTGCAAAGAGCTGGCTGAATTTTCGTTGCCATTGGCGCTTTGGTGAGAAAGCTGAGTGTGACCTGGGTGGCCGAAGTTTTGTCCAGGCATATTCGCTGCAATTTGCGGAAAATAACCGTAATGTGGAAGGAAAGAACCAGGAAAAACAGGATGAACTCCAGGAAGACCTTGTCCACCAATAGAAATTCCAGATCCTTGCAAATCACCAGCAGTGCTACTAGTAGCTCGACTGTTGTCATTTGGCTGGATATCATTTGTCTGCTGGGGAGTTTCTGACGAATGCTTATCACCATTATGCTCGAACGATGGGGGTGCCATTGCTCGAGTGTTTGGGACAATACGACCACCAGCGGTAACTCGGACGTGGGTTGGAGATACAACGGCTCTGTAAAATCTTCGAAAGTTTTCAGCCTGATGCAAAGCCACGCTGGTTGGTGCAGAAAGTGGTTGGATTTGATTGTCAAAGGTGCGGCGTGATTCAAAGTTGGGATGTTGACGGAGACACCAGCTACCTTGACTACGCATTGACTGAGACGAGGAAGAAGAAGATTCTCCACGACGTGTTGTAACTTCAGGACGTGTGTATCTCTGTTGTTTCAAGAGAGTTGCGGTGAGGCAAGAGTAAGTGTGGGGATTTCGGAATGCTTGCTCAGGAAGGGCGAATATTGCGGCTGCAGATTTGTTTTGTTTAGTAATTGCCCAATGGTGAATTGATGAAGATGGGAAAAACACTGACCAATATCAGGATGCTTGTTAATGTTGTCAATGACGCAAGCAATGAACGAAAGTGAGCTTCTCAGATCAAGCAATTGATCAATCGAATAGCGATGAACCTTCATGGTCTTATTTCCAAGAAGGACCATTGCGCGATTGTGATTAAATGGCTTGCCGAACACCGCGGTAGGTATTGGTCTTCAGCTTTTTCTCCTGGTTGGCGACAAGTTCGAGAAGGAATTCAAGAGTAGAGGTTGAAGTTATGTTTGCGTAAGTGTTCTCGATCAATTGGAGTTGTGCAGCGAGTAAAAACACCGCCGAATGAAATTGATTGGAATTGAAGAGTAGAGTTGAGCCTTCGTTTTAGGAAGAATTCGGAATTTGAATTGTTTGTGGTTTGTGGTTTGTGGTTGTATTTGAGGTATTCTTTCAAAATCGTAGCTAAAGGTCAAAGAAGACAAAAGTCAGTGATTGAAAGATTGAAATTGAATATCTCCAGGTGAATGGGTAGATGTAATTTCAAAACAAATCAGTCAGCCTAAGAAAAAGCGGGGTAAACAAAAAACATCCTCATAGATAGATCTATATGACCTCTGGCATGATTAAAATGTCAATCTTATCAATGGGAATCACCTTGGTGATGGTTGTCATCCAACCAGGTCGTTCAATCAATCCAATCTACTCTTATCTGATCTTGGAGAACCACCACTAGAACCAAATAGAATGAGAACAGTATAAGACTTACTAGTACAATGGAAGTGAGACAGGTTGGTATTGTCGAACAAAATTTGTAAAAGGTGAAGATCAAACAATTCTTCTACAAAGCTGGAAACCAGACCTAAACAAAAGCAATTGAAGGGAAATAACGAGACTTTTACAAGGAGTAGCAAGAGGCAGAGAGAGTGGCTCTGTTGAAGGAGGAGTTTGATGATGTGTGGATGAATAACTTCAATCAGCAGCAAAGCTGGAATTGAAGGAAGTGGTGTTGTTGTTGTTTGAAGGAAAGAGAAGCAATAACTTACTGATTACCTATCTAGGTAACTTTTACAGTTCAGATCGAATTAGCGAGAAACAACGATCGTTAATTGGCGGTTGCTCGGAGCGGGTGGGTATAGTGAGGTCAATTAGGGCAAGAGCAAAAGATCTAGAACAAGAGCAACAATGAAGCTTCAACCTTTTGATTAAGAGTTGTGCTATCCAGGAAAAACATCATGAAAATGAAAGGACTGTAAGTGAGTATTCCAGAAAACATGGACCATGTCAATCATTCTTGTTCATAAGCTTTCAGAATTATCACTAGACTACTCTCTCAAATTGATCAGTGGCCTAGAAGATCTCCTTCACCATTACCATCATCAAAGTAACTTGTGATGCCGTTTCTTTGTGATTGCCGTACTGTCCTCTTTAACGATACTCTTTGATGATACTTAAGCAGATTGGAGAATCGTGAGTACAAATATCAAGGTATAGGTACATTTCAAGTGGAGTGTTCAGCCAAATATCTTCTCGAACACAATCACATGCTGCCATACTGCTAAGAGATGATAGCTGATAAACCGTTGATTTACTTTTTGATACAGCGAAGGAAGATTTGAGAATAGACTGTGGTTCCTCTTGCCTCAGAATAATGTATGCTTTGACCAGTGAACATGAGGCTGCTCACTGCTGTGCAAAGTGGACAGACAACCTTTTGAATCGACTTCTCTGGAGGCCCACAGATAAAAGTTCCAATGCATTCCGATTCGAGAGTACCAGAGATTACTACTTTACCTTCTCCCCAGACACTTATCAAGTAGCACTTCTTGCAGCATCTTCGGCATGGCAATATGGCATTCTCGATCGGGCATATCGCTAGGTATTGTGCGGTGTGCCTCTTGGAGCATATTTTGAGTTATGAGTGTAGAAATGGGGATGCAGTGCAGTACAGAGGAAGGAAAAACGAGGACGATAAGAAAGTTAAGTTTTTTGGAAAGGGGTGATAACTTATGAGAAGCTCAGTCTCCCGTACAAGATGTCAAAAATGGAAGGAACGAAGCATGAGTGAAGTGACGTTGAGAGAGAAGCTAGCCGAGCGTTGAACCTTACCGTTTGGGGACTAGTCGAAAGTTGTTGTTTCACACGTGATTTAGCTCATTTCACAACAACTTTGAAGGTCAAACGCTTTCATCGATTTTCATTTATACTATACTCTTGATACTTCTTCCACCGGAAGTACAATCTCAACTCCCATTAGTCTTTGAAAGCATTCGACGACGATGCACCATTTTCGACAAGTTCATATATCGACGGCGAAATGATTGGCGGAAACGCTTAAAGTAATACTTGTACTCGAGTAGGTGAATGCTGAGTCCACCAAAGAGGTAAATACTAACCGAATTCAGAAATTTGTGCCGTCAATGTTACCGGAATTTTATCGTCTCCAAATGACAAGGTTGTCAATCAATAAGGCGGGCAGGAGAATGCTGCAGTATCGAACATGCAAGGCTGTGAAACTTCTCTCCATGCTCAGTGACACTCCCCCGTTTTTCGACATTTCATCGGATGTTCTCCTATTGGAATTGTCATTGGATACCTTCTGGTAACGATCTTCGAGCTCTGGGCGAAAACCACATAATTAGTCACATGCTTGAAGAAACTCGAGACGCGTTGCGAAAACCGTTCTGTGCAATTAATTTTACATCAAGAATATGTGCAACACAATATTCCACCTCCAACTTTTCTAGTTACAAAGATCTTTGATCACATAAGCTATTCCCACATGAGACTGAATGACTGTCGACGACTGAACAAGAGAACATCGCAATGGAGTACATCGCCAAATTTTGCAGAAAATTCAGCTTTTCAATTCCGACTTTTCCTTTCTCACAGACTCCGGCAGAAGACCACCACAATTGGAGAGAAAAAATTTATCAAACCAGCAGAATTTATTTCAAGCTGAGACGAGGATCGTGGAAAGTAATAGAAAACCACGAAAAAGCGACAGAAATGAAAGGGTCGATGAATTTGGTCTCTGCGTATGCCTTCAGCCCTTCTTTTGCGTCGGTACAGCTGTCTGTTTGGGAAGTTCAACCATAGTACCATCCGTTGCAGTGAGACTGGCCACGACCGATTCCGTCGATGTTGGAAATTCGGTCTTTTGTGGCTCCTTCACCATCCAACCGGTGTCAAAATCGCTCAAAGCGACAATTTCCATTAATGTGTAGTACAATTTGCCGTCTTCGAACTGCGGTACAAAAATATCCCTTGACATCTGGTACTGAGATGTGGGAATGACCGATTCAACATCCCTACCCTCTGCCTAGTTGATATTAGTATCCAAAGGTTCATAGCTGTCGACTGGCCTACTAGACAATGTGCACAGGGTGCGTTATTGACCCATACCCAGTGAGGGCAATTAAAGGTCATCCAATACTTGCATCGGTACTTATAGTAACCTCCTCCAGAGCCACTCATGATCTTGAAGTCGATGATGCCACCTCTGGCACCGAAGTGCTTTTCGATGTTGTTGTTGCTACCCGCTGGCAGCGAAGCGATTTGGTGGACGCGGTGAAGCGCAAGTTGGGTACTTGAGTGTTCGTATGGATGCTCAGTTTGAACGCTCAACCTGCAAATGAGGTTCGTTGATGATCAAGCCAAAAGGAAGTGGAAGAGAACAGACAAAAATATCGAAGAGCAAAGATAAATATCTTGTACCGAGATATCTAGGACTTTGGATAGTACTAGGGTAATTTCGCGGCCACCAATCCATTTTGATCTTTAACGCAAAGCATATGGAACGAAACGGCGAGTTTCCATGCTCAAAGTTGTGTGAAGGAGTTCATGGGAAGTCCAAGGCTGCATATTTGTGTCGAAATGCAGGTGGTGTCTTCCATAAAATGAGTGCTATTCACGCTTCACGGCTTCGGAGCGCAGCAAAGATAGAGTACGTTCATATCTGCAGCCAACCGAAATGAAGCTCGTTTATGTAATAATGTGGCTTCCAATTCATTCTAGTGAGACTCGGAATACTCAAAGAGGCGAATTAATATCCCGGCATCATAATCCAGCTGGAGATCGAAGTCAGAACATTGATTCCATACGGCAGAGAAGAACAATTGAGGTCAAACCCCACCTTTGTAAAGAAAATCATATTCGGGCACGGATTCATTCCTGATATATTTAAGCAGGCAATCTCGAATACAGTTCCTTTCTGGTTGACTGTACCTCCGCAGTCACTTGTTGAATTATCACTGGAAACGATGTAACATTTCACCTGTCAAACTTGCAGAAGAGCAAAGGTTCTGCAGCTAAGTTAATGCACGTTCTCATTGGCCCACCTGCAGTATTTTCATACAATCCTTAAATCTCGATGCTACATAAGGTTGTTTCTCCTACCTATTACGAGAGTTGCGCCGCACTCAATCGGCGATTGTGTCCACCTCCGACCGAGAAATCCCCAAGTCATATCCACGAAACACAGCATGTGCAGCTTAGATTGAAGATGTCGTCGACTGCATTATTAATATACTTGTTGCTGGCATATGAAAGCAGAGTATGGGTTTTTACCTTGAATATTCATGGACTCGTCTGCAATGTGCTGGGATACTCGGGTCGCTAGCGGAGGCGTCTCGGGTCAGCTTCCATACTTCCTACCCGCCCTTGTACCGTAACAAGGATGATAATAGTACTTGCTTTAGTGGCCGTTGTACATGAACCGCTCTAGATCGTTAGCCCCGTGGAGATACGAACATCAATTCGTCGCATTTATGTCGAATTTGAATGACTACACGTGCTGAAAAAGCAATTTCCGGCGCTCAAACTAATCCCACCTCCTCTATCTTGAGATTCAATATCTCTCCCACAGAATCAGCTTTTCGACCGCTGAATATCAAGAGTCTTCTTTGTACGCACTTCATCAAGCGGCGGAATTTTCAGCTCGAAATCATCATCACTACCACGGTATCCTACAGCCTTCGGTGCCCTGGCAGTCTTTCCCCTTGACCTTGTTTCTTTGAATCCACACCCTCACGATTGCGACAAATTGTAAATCAATTAAGCCCCGCCAGCCAATCAACCCGAGATTCGTAACCTTGTGTGGCACAAGTCTACAATTATGTTGTGCCACGACTCACGATTTTCATGAGATGTTCATGCCATGATCCAACGTATTCTTCTCCAATCGCAAGCTGATTAATTTCTCTTGATTCGCTACCACAGAAATCGCCGAAGAGAGTAGTCTAAATGCATATAATCTGATGTAGAAATTGTGTTTCTGCAATGCGGGGATATCCCCTTTTGCTTACATTACAGCACGAGGACCAGCAGTACATTTTCAATGTCTGATCTTTGGCTACTTCACCGAATCACCGTCTGGCAAGACAATGCATAAGCTTCATGGCTATCATCGTAGGAACATTCCCTTACTCGAACATTTCTGTCGTGATGAATTTACGCTAAAGCTTACACTCAGAACACGATATATCCATACTAAAGCATGTAAGACACAGTATCTGCTCGATTCATCGACTTAGATTGAAGGGATGCCATTTTCCAACTGGTAATCTGATAGGTTATAAGTCTCAATGTAGATTTTGGGCATCTTCGCGTGGAGAAAATTGACCCCTGCTGCGTCGAGAGTCTTCTTCCTCGACCTGATTATTCTTTAGTTTAATTCCAGAAACGTGGATTTCGATTATTGAGACTTGAGGCAGATTACACGGCGGCTGCCGTGCTTTTTAATACCATGATCTCTATCACAGATTGCTGACAGTTACCGAGATATCGGTAACTGTCAGCACGTAGTTACGTATGTACATTTGGAAACAACGACATCCCAAAACATTTCGGCTCAATGTCCCGGTGAGTAGATTTTGCGAACTCGGGACGAGAATGTCACTGTGGCCGGCCGCATGTTTATTATGGCTTACAAATTGTTCTGTAGGATGTGTATACTGAACATACGGTTTTCGAAAAGTTCGCACGCTGAACTTGCGTTGTCTGATGCAATTTCTACGCCAAATAATCCTTAAGCCTATTCAACTCAACCTGAATGTCACTAGCAAAGCATATACCCAAGATCTAGCTTCCTGCAGTGATCGCCATTATTTGAGAGCCTTCTAATATGCGAGCAAGCCTCCGTGGAGAAGCTTCATCGGAAATAGGCTTTTACCGAGAGTACCTTGAAAGGCTTTGCTTTCTAGTAGCTATAGAATTAACATAGAAATCTAGAGCGTAGAGCGACACACAGCTAGACCGTCAAGAGACCTTTCATTTTCTGGTTCTGGATAGTTCTATGTTGGCCGATAGCCCTTGAGATCTCGACCTGGCCTCAACCATACTGCCATTTTTCTGGCGCCCAATCAAATACTTGCAACTATATTACGGGATTTAGAAATGTAGTTGCACAGTATTCCTTGCATCTTCAGTAAGATTTATCCCTACAAGGCTTATGAGCCATTTTAAGTGCAACCTTTCCAGCTTCCAAATGCAAGTGCCAAGGTTTAATGACCGCTCAAGCGACCGTTGAGGCAAAATAAATCGGACGTTTGCCAAACTCTTGAAGGCTATCGTAGAAGATATCAACCCTTTTCACAATTATTCTGTTTTTAAGTCTTGATAATACCACGAGCTACATCATCAGAACTAAGTATCAGTAGCATCTCCTTCGACTTTTCTGACAATTGAATCTCTTCAATCATGCTTTCATCATAAGTAGCAGTCAACAGACTCGTTTGCGCAAGTCATAAATTTAGAGTCTTAATTACCGATAGTTCGTCAAGACAATACCGCGTTATATTCTTCGAGAGGTTGTCGGATTCGAGCATCTGTCTAATGCAATTCTCCTCTGGAAGATCAACGCCACCTTCAAGCGCAAGCATTAAGATGTCCCCGGAGCCTTATTAGCCTAAATGCACAACACAGGGTCACACGTGTTCGAATGTGCTCTGGCGACAGGGCTTTGGAGCCCAAATTAGCTAGAAATCTAGAGAGTCTTTCGCATCATGTTTTCTGTTTTTCTTTTGGTAAATTAGTCTTCTCGTCACGTATAATGCTATTATTCTGAATGGTGTCGGACGCTAAAAAATAGCTATAGATGATATACACCTATTTAAATAAGAACAACCATATTTGTATCCCGAAACAACGGACCACCCGAAATCCTACTTCAAGACCGCCTGCATGTTTGCGATGATGCAACTGGACGGCCCGGCGCGCTGTTAATCGAAGATATAGTGCACAATCCTTATGCACATTTCCGCGGATGTCCCGATTGGTTGAAGATGCATATTCTTTTACAATGGTTCTAGTTCTTGGTGAGCCATTTCCTTGGGGCCTGCAGTAAAATTAAGAAAAGCAAAATTTCTCAACATCGGAAGGTGCCGAATTGTGGGGGGCTGCAGACCTTATTCATGTTCCGGCCGACATTCATCTGCCCAAATTGGTTATTGGTCCTTTTCAAGAAATGCCTCGGCTCCACGTTCAAAGTCTGGTAATCGCACCTTATAATATATTGTATTATCTCGGGCCTCAATTGAAAGTTTGAAACATCGCAGATTGAATTTGAGCACTTCCAATATCAAAACGCTATTGCCCGGTGTCTGTTGTGGTTCCTTGGTACCGACGAAATACTTCGTCTCAATCTGCCTGCTGTCAACGTCACGTTACTATCATTGAAGCCCCTGGAATACTAGAACGAGGTCTGATACTCGCTATTGTCCTATCTCGTACGTTATCTCTACGTACAGTTTACTCTATGATTTTGGCTGAATAGTTTGTCAATAAGCACATAAGATACAAGTGCATCATCGTCCATCACGGACATTACAAGACTGCATCGTATCTTCGAGATGATCGTCTATACACTACTCAAGTATGCTTGGAGCACTCAAAAATGACATACCTATCACAATACTTGAGCAACCTCAATGTAATCACCCAAGTACCTATAGCCAGTAGGACTGTGCCATCTCTACATCCAACGTGTTACCAAGGTCCTGACAACGAATGACTGATTGAAGTTCTTAGTTGATCACCAACATTAACAAGATACATACTCCGTGTCCATACATGCGAGCAATCAATATGCGACTCTTTCGGCCTAGGTTTGTCAAAATTCGCTGGCTGCTAATTTGAAGAATTGAAGCCAGAATACATTTCTAATTCCCTACTGATTTCGAAATCTAGAATCTTAGCTATGCTATCGTACATTTCTCATTCGTGCGGTGGATTGGGTATCAGTTCGGTTTAATCTAAAGATACTTTCAAATTCATATGAATTTTTATCGAATAAAGTTCCTCATTACATTCCAATTCGCCTCCTATGTGCTTCATGCACTACACCATATTCCATCCCACTCCACCCCACTATACTCGAGTATGTATGTACGTTTGACAATTCCTCCTTTCTCACTTGCACATTGATCCGATTGGAGATATTTTTTACCAATTAACGAACGACTCACGGTTTGAAGATTACTCTTTCTCCAGTGAGGTGCTGTTACTAATGTTTGCATAGATCAAATTATATTTACATGTCCATTGAACTCTGTTCGAGTGTTGGTTCACGTGTATATCTGGCTCTCATATCGATCATATTTCATTAAATCGCCAAAGAATCAAAGAATCAAATCGTCTCTCCAACATCACTTTCTCAGCATCACATCACATTCTACTTTATCTCTATTCTACGCACACTCACTCACGTGTATACGTTATACCTAGGTAAACTTCAGTGTTAGTTACTATCAATATACGTACGACTCCGATTTTTCTTCACTTTCAATTATTTCAGTACAGTATCCTGATTCATTTGCACTCCCCAATTCCTCCTCGATTCTTGCACTAAACACTTCCAAACCGGTTTCTTTCCACCAACCTTTTATCAAGTGATCCGAACAGTTCTTCCGACAATATGTTTCCGCAGTTTTTGAGAGAATGTTGAATGATCAGAAACCTTTTAGCCGAACTACGATAGATGATTTCTCGGGTCTCCAGGTGATCTGGAATTTGAGGATGAGTGAGTGATCTTTCTATTTCTCTTTCTTTTTAACACATCATAAGACATGCCAATCATCCAATTCCGTGCTATCCGGTCAAACTCCCCCTCAACCTAACTAGTCTGCTGCCTACTGCTTGTATAGAACGACACTTCTAAGTTCCTACAAATAATCATCAAGCTAGTTTGCCTTTTTGATATCTCCTCTCCCGCCTTAAGAACTTCCCGTTTACCGCCTGCCTGCCTGCCTGCCTCGGTTCAAGTATAGTATAGTATATTACTCGAGTACTATTAACCTTTACTTTCAACCATACAATAAAATCTTGCAATATTAGGATACCAGCATCCCAGTATCCAGGATACTTTGGTTTTCTTTACTACCTTACCCTATTTCCCTACTCTAGTACTCGGAAGCCCATCCATCTGCGCCTGCCTCGGGTATCTAGGTATATCTCCTTGGATTTTCGGATATAGCTATTGCTATTGCTATTGCTATAGTATACTATACTATACTTATCACATTTCTTATATACAGTACCAGCATTCTAACATGTCTTGGTTATCACATAGGTATGAATACATATACTCGAGTATATATACATCGACACTGCATATCCATATTTACTATTTCATATCAATATCTCTATCATATCTTCCCAAATCCATTAATCTTTCATTAAACTTCGCTGTCCTCGGCTTGTTGCTCTGATTACTTGTTGTTACTTATTGTTGTTTGGAATTGTTTGAAAATGTGTAGAATAGAGTAATTTATGTTCCGCAAACACAAAGTAGGAGATTAACGATAAGTGATGGATAGCCAGTATATATATCTATTTCACACCTTTCATCCTCCCTCATCTTCTCTCATCTACTCGAGTACCATATTTTCTGATCTTCTTCTCTTATCCAATATCTCCCATCTCCTATCCCTACCATTCTCTTTCTAACTCCTCATAAATCCTTCCATGCATCTTCATATTCTACATTTCGTTCTCCCCATCCCATCTCGTCACCAAAATACCTGTGCTCATACCCATTCATACCTATACCTACACATAGTACACACAGCCAACTGATATTACATAATCAACCGATATCTACCTCTCAATCATTTCATAACCCCTCAACAAATCCAAATTCAAATCCAAACTCAAACCCGAATTCAGTATAAAGTATAAAGTATCGTGACATCCCATCTTACAATACCATCCCTTCACAAACTGCTACTCGAGTGCAGTAGAGTAGAAGTCTAGAACTTATACTCGAGACTCGAGTAGTAGAAGGGATTCAGATGATGGGTGGGTGGAACTCCGTGGTGTGGATTTGAAGATTTCTGCGAGTATTATATCATTATTTTATAGTACTGATAATACGAAGTATGTAGATGGGTGGTTTGATACGGGATATACTATTCAACCCATCTCAAATCGACTCAACTCCATACATGTATGCATACACACACACATGCATACCAGAAATTCCAAAATGCAATATTCATACAGTTCAAAGCAACACAATGTATGCAATAAAAATCTCGATTCTTCATTCATAATTCTTATGTCCCTCCTAATTCCCTCCCTCCATAATCTATCCATCTATCGCATATGCATATCTAGGTATAGGTATATGTAAAGTAAAAGTGGCGTTTCTTCTCTTCTTCCCCACAAGAGTGAAAAACAACCACCACCGTTATTCTAGTAGTGTAGTACCCGACTAACTATCTGTCTGTCATTCCTTTCGGAACGTAATTTCTCTCGCAAAGAGCTTCTGTACTCCAAGAACCAATGTGAAATGTACCGCCATCTTTATTTTCATGATTTCAAAGTTACACGGTCCCTCCCGACTGATCCCTAGCTGTCGCTTTCGTTTAAGTGCATGCTTTGTTCTTCACCCCGCTTGCTGGTCTAATGGATTTATCACCTCCAATACACAAGATTTTATGTCAGGGAATGTGTCCCGTACGTAGTGCTGTGGTTTAATAGACCCCGAATTTATCTCCCACCCTTCATAGACTGCTTCCTCTTGATTTTATCCTGTGCCCGTATCAACGCCGTCTTGATTTCTCCTTTGCCGAATGATGAAATATCGTAGTATGTTGGCGCGATGTCCTGTTTTATGTTAGCTCGATGAATTTCGCTGATGTGATGATAGTTTGAGTTGAGATTGGAGAAATAGACTAAAAAGAGTATTGAGAAAAAGATAACGTACCATTAACCACTCAGGTCTGATCGCCGTCACACTCCTCACATAATTCTTCGTCGTGAGCACAAACTCATTATACAACACCCACTCGGCATCCTGTTTCAGCACCGTACTAGGATGCAGCAATACACTCTGATCATCCTTGACCGTCATATATGTCTTACCCGTCGCTTCCTTCTTCGCAACTTGCATGAAGAAGCCTGCTACGAGTGCACGACGGATATTGGTATAGTAAGATTTATCATTGAAATCTGTCGATACGAGTTCGAGATCGGACTTTTCCATAATGCGCTTCAGTTGTTGGCGGACGTTATCAGCTGATTGAAGGGCTCGGAGAGAGAGGAAATGTTCGTGGCACCAGCCTTTGGGATCGGCCTGAGCACTCTCGCCTTTGAAGGCATGGTAGACGTTGAGCATGGTAAGGTGATCTCCATCGGGGTGAGCGAAGAGATCTTTCATCTCATCGGCGCGTTTTCTAGACGAGGCGGGACGGACGAATATCTGAGGAACGGAGAGGAGGGCAGTAAGAGAGAGAATTTCGTTGGAGCAGTAAAACTCTGGGGAAGAGATAAGCATTACGGCGAGGGCTGGATCAAGAGGAAATTCCGAGGCAAGTTTGCCAAGTTGTGTGAGATTTCCATCATCGTCAAGACAGGCGAGGTAATTGAGTTCCTCAAGTGCTCGCATGAGTGTTTCTGGAGCTGGAGGATCCATGAGATCAAAATGTACCAAATCATCAATGCCAAGTTTCTTCAATTCTAAGACGGTGTTTGCCAGATTCGATCGAAGAATTTCAGGATATGTTTGTTCGATGAGTTCCTTCTTGAAAGCTGCCTCGGTGTATAATCTGAAACATTTACCGGGTCTAGTACGACCAGCACGACCAGCTCGCTGTTGCGCAGATGCTTTCGAGATAGGTGAAACAAGCAGGGATTCGACTCGAATTCTAGGATTGTAGACCTTCTGTTTGCTGAAGCCGGGATCAACCACGTAAACGATACCATCAATTGTCAAAGATGTTTCAGCGATATTCGTTCCTACAATGACCTTTCGTCCGGGACGTCCACCAGGCCTTAATGGTTGCGGTGCTGCGTCGAAAATTCTCTGTTGTTGTGCCGGCGGCAAGGTACCGTAAAGTGGATATACCTTCAATGGGCCTGCGTCTGCTTCTCTAATCATCTCATCTGCTTCCAAAGATATCTTCCGACATGCGTCTTCAATTTCCTCTTCACCAGTCAAGAACAACAAGATATCTCCCTCACCTTCGGTGGCGTGGATCTGCAGAACTGTTCTGAGCGCTGCCTCGACATAATCTCTCTCAGGCTCTGGTGTATAAAAGATTTCGACTGGATATGTTCGTCCAGGTACTGCTAGGAGCGGAGCATCGTTGAAGTATTTCTGGAACTTTTGCGCATCAAGTGTAGCGGACATAATAACAATCTTGAGATCTGGTCGTCTAAGTGCCACCTCTTTTAACAAACCCATCAAGATATCTGTAGCCAAAGTACGTTCGTGAGCTTCATCAAGAATGATGCAGCTATACCTTGTCAAATTGTGATCATGCATAGCCTCTCTCAGAAGCATACCATCAGTCATATATTTAAGTATGGTTTTCGAACTCGTCACATCCTCGAAACGAATACTGTATCCAACTTCATCTCCCAATTTGACATCCATTTCGTTCGCCACACGCTGCGCTACTGACATAGCTGCTACTCGACGAGGTTGTGTACATGCGACAAGCTTGCCACTGAGGTGGGGGAGATCATCGTATAGGACGAATTGAGGAATCTGTGTTGTTTTACCAGAACCGGTTTCACCGACGAAGACCAGAATTTGAGTCTTATGGAACATATTAAGGAATTCCTGTCTGTAAAGCAGTTAGCAGATGTTAAAGTAGACTGTCAGACAACTCAAAGCTCTTACCTCTGCTTGTGAACAGGTAAATCTCTTCTGGTTTTCAAGATATTGAAATACTGTTTGGAAAGAGGCCTCTCATTAAAAGGATTCGAAGGTCCATCTTCAGCTTCATGAGCCTGTGCAGCAGTTGTTTCATGGCGTATGAATTTCGAAAGTCCAGATCCAGCACCATTCGAACCATTGCCCCAACCATTACTTTCTTCCTTATACATATGCGCCAGATACGGATTCGCCTTAGGATCCGTATCATCGGTTCTTGGACGCTTCGCTCGAGACATTTCTGGTTCTTCTGGACGACGGTCAGCCATTGTTGAAAGCTGATCAAGGATTGTTTGATGTTATGTTTACTTTTCCGAAATTTGCGCGCAAGGCTAATGAGACTTCAGGCAAAATTATTGCAAATAGAAAAAGTTATCGATATGCTCTAATACCATAGATTGCGCTAGACTGATTTAAGTCACCGCCTTTTCTTTGGTACAGATTATGTAAGCATCATCGACCAAGATACTTCACTTCATACCTATTTACATATTACAGGATAATCAATATTTATCCAGGAAGTTACTATGGCTGCGCCATCTCCAGATCCCATTATGGACCTCGTCCCCCCTATGAAACAGGAAGAAGGAGAAGAAGAAGATGCAAATGATGCACCAGCACCAGAATCCAAGCTTCCAACCAAAAAAGATATCTCACTTAAAGAGTTCCTTGGAAAGATGGATGATTATGCTCCAATTGTAAGACGTGCTTGTTTTGCATTGTCTATCACTATCTAATCCTCGTTTGTAGATTCCTGATGCAGTGACAAATTATTACCTCACAAAAGCTGGTCTTCCACCCCCACCACAAACAGATGCGCGTTTAGCCCGTCTACTTGCTCTTGCGACCCAAAAGTTCATCGCTGATATCGCAGCCGATGCTTATCAATATTCCCGCATTCGTTCGTCAAATTCCTCGAGTGCCAATAATCCTATGGGAAACTTGGGCGCTGCGGCTGGTTTCCCCATTCCGGGTCAGCAACCCGCTGGCGCGACAGGAGGCAAGGACCAACAGGGACGTGGAGGACCTCTCGGTATTCAGAGACCTGGGTATGGTGGTGGCGGACAGGGAGGTAGTCAAAACCGAACGATTCTCACCATGGAGGACTTAGGTATGGCTGTGGGAGAATATGGCGTTAATGTAAAGCGCGGGGAATTCTATCGCTAAATTCACGACATCATAAAGCATGATCTGGTCAGGGTGGGTGGTTCAATGGCGTTACAAATTGGGAGGAGTTTTGAAGAAGGTATAAGGGTCTACGCAGAACGACACCTACGAAATTGTATAACGATTTTATAATCCAGATACAGAGATTAGCCATAAATATATCTCTTTTCATACATTTCTTAGTTCATCCCATATGGGCGTGGGAGAGTGGGGGGCATATCTTGTCATGAATCCTCATTTCATCGGCTTTATGAAAAGTTCGAAAGTCATGCTACCAGTGTCACATAGAGCCTGGTTATTGGATTTCCCGTGTGAAGGCAATAATGGTTCGTTCTCATCCAGCAAGTGTCTCGTAGTCTTTGACAAGAGCGTCCAGAAGAGCAGGCTCTCACAACTTTCCACTGACCTCACTCCTTGCCAGCTCATATGATACACCCGCTATACAACACAGTGTACATCTCCCGAAGCCCAAAGACTCTCCCAGCCCGAAACGCCATACGTGCCATGAAAACATTCCCCCGCCTACTTATTCTTACTCTGCTTATACGTAAATCGTGTTCTCGTCCTGTTCACCAAATTAGCCCCTCGTTCTCCTCACTCAAATCCAAACAACATACGCCGAGAATTCCCCCAACTTATGTCCCACCATATCCTCCGTAATCGTCACTTCATTATAAACCTTCCCATTATGAATTTCAAAAACCATGCCGACAAAAATAGGCAGAATAGTCGCAGATCGTGCTTGTGTTCTAATCGGAAGTATTCGTTGACCTGGTACTGGTGCGACAATGGGGAAACTTGTGAAGGTGGATTAGAGCAAGTTAGAGAATCTACTTGGGGATGTCTTACGGAACGATGTTGGGGCCTGGAGAAGTTTGATTAGATTTGTATGACTAGTTTTTGGGGTATATAATCAAACATACCTTTCCAGACCGATCGTGAAAGAAGAACTCTGCTGGGAAACATTGTGCTGTTGAATTGATATCAAATTGCCTCGCCGCCGGTTTATGGCAAACCTTTTGTCGTCAGCTATAATTGCGAAGTGCTCGCATCTTGCAGGGATAAAACACGCTAATCCAGATCGCGTCTCCCAGATACTGCAGGCAACTGAGAACTTTAGATTTTAATTGTAAACGCGAATTTGAACGGAAAGCTTTGTGAACCTCGATTTTCTCGTGTTTTCGGTATTGTTGATCGCGATTCCACTGGTTGATGAGTCTGCGATAAGTTGGAATAACTTCAACCTTTCTGGAGAGCTCACGGCAGACCAGTCCACGACCAAGATGCCGACCTTCACAGGTATATTCTTTTCCTAACGAAGTCAAGAACGTTTACTGACTTCTTTGCAGCAGCAGATACGATACGAATTCTAATTGCCACGGACAGCCATGTGGGATACGCAGAGAATGATGCTGTGCGAAAGGATGACAGCTGGAGAAGTTTCGATGAAGTTATGCGTCTAGCAAAAGATCAAGATGTAGATATGGTTTTACTCGCCGGCGATCTCTTCCACCATAGTCAACCTTCTCGAAAAGCCATGTATCAAGTCATGCGCTCTCTACGAATGAACTGTCTCGGAGAGAAGCCCTGCGAGTTGGAATTACTCAGCGATGCAAACGATATTTTTGATGGTTCATTCAATCATGTCAATTATGAGGATCCGGATATCAATGTTGCTATACCAGTATTCTCTATTCACGGAAATCATGATGATCCAGCTGGAGATGGCAATTACTGTGCTTTGGATTTGCTTCAAGCTTCTGGATTAGTCAATTACTTTGGTCGAACGCCTGAAGCCGATCGTATTCAGATTAAGCCAGTACTTTTGCAGAAAGGTCAAACGAAGTTGGCTTTATATGGCATGAGTAATGTGAGAGACGAGCGTCTTCATCGTACATTTAGAGATGGCCATGTCAAGTTCTTTAAGCCCGGAGTACAGCCAAAGGATTGGTTCAACATTATGGCAGTTCATCAGAATCACCACGCTCACACCGAAACGTCATATTTACCAGAGAACTTCCTTCCTGATTTCCTGGACTTAGTCGTCTGGGGTCATGAGCATGAATGTCTTATCGATCCTTCCTACAACCCCGAAACATCTTTTCACGTCATGCAGCCTGGATCTTCTGTAGCCACGTCTCTTGTACCTGGCGAAGCCGTTCCAAAACATGTCGCCATCGCCAGCATCACCGGAAGACAATTCGAAGTCGAAAAGATCCGCCTTAAATCCGTCCGACCCTTCATTACGAAAGAAGTCATCCTTGCCACCGACAAACGAACGAAACATCTCGCCAAAGTAAAGGATAACCGCACAAAACTCACCAAAGAACTTATTACTATCGTAGATGAACTCATAGATCAAGCACGCGCCGAATGGATCTCCCTCCAAGATGAGCCAGAAGAAGAACTCGAGAACATCCCCCTCCCTCTCGTCCGCCTCAAAGTTGAGTTCACCCCACCAGAGGGTGGTAAATTCGACTGCGAAAACCCTCAACGCTTCTCCAGCCGCTTCATAAACCGCGTCGCCAACATCAAAGATGTAATTCAATACCACCGCAAAAAAGCCGCCACAACCCGTAAATCCGCCACCGAAATTGACCTCCCAGAAGAAGGAACCCTCGCCCAAGTCGCTGGTTTCGACGATGTAAAGGTCGAACTTTTAGTCAAAGAATTTCTCGAGAAACAATCCCTTCAAGTCCTCCCCACCACCCCCTTTGGTGACGCCGTAGGCCAATTTGTCGATAAAGATGATCGTCACGCCATGGAAATCTTCGTACAGAAATCGCTCAAAGCCCAAGTCGAAGAACTCATCAAACAAGCCAACGGCGCAGACAACGACGTCGGAGACGAAGATGAATACCTCAACGCCGCCATGGAAAAGTTTCGTGCTCAGCAAGAAGCACTCGCTGCTCGATCAGGAGTCAAATCTCAAAAACCAGTCAAGAAACTCAAACCTAAACCTCGACCCGCAGATTTCGATTCAGATGTTGATGGAGAATGGGGTGAGAAGGTCGAACAATGTGAGACGGATCATGGAGGGGACAAAGATGATGATAGCGATGAGGCGCCGCCTGCTCCTCCACCCAAACGCGGGAACAGTAAATCGACAAGTGGATTCCTAATCAGCGACGAAGATTCCGACGATCCGTTCGCCGAACCTAAACCCGCTTCCAACAGGGCACCAGCTAAACGCGCCCCCGCCAAGAAACCTGCCGCTCCTAAAAAAGCACCAGCTAAAAGCACAGCAAGAGGTAGAAAAAAGGCACCCGAGCCCGAACCTAGCGACGATGAAGACGAAGATGTCGAAATGGAGGAAGCGCCCCCGTCTTTAGCGAAACCCAAGAGTCAACCGAAGAAAGCGGCTGCTACCAGGGGAAAACAATCCCAATTAAGTTTTTCGCAGGCGAGTCAGGCAGTGGGAGGGGGTGGCGGAAGAAAAAAACATGTGGTGGAGTTGAGTGATGATGAGATTAGTGAGGATTATGATGATGCGTTTCAGCCAATGAGTGCGGTTAGTGCTGGGAGGAGAGGAAGGAGATGATTATTTTGCTGTTTGCGACTGTGCGTTTGGTTTATATACCGAAATGTGATTATACAATTATGTTGAGGGAAAATACATACAGTAGTATGCACGCAGAATTACGCATCTAATTTAATCTAATCTAATCATTAAGATTATGGTAGAGTTTGGAGGAGAAGATGAGATATAGATATATATCAGTATGATGCGGAGCAGAGCATTAATGGTGCATATATTACGAAGTTATGGGATGGGATGATGATGAAGTTGATGGATTGCTTTACTTTACTTTACTTTACTTTGCTTAGTAGCTGCGTATTAATTATGGATCTAAATGGACATTGTATTGCGTAGGTAACTAGCATCGCACATCTAAAATAAAGTGGATCTAAATACCATAGCAATTTTTTTGTTTTCCATACTACAAGTTCCCAATATACTATGCTGTTTTGTATTGTGTTGGATTGGACTTTAATGAATGTTCGTACCAGGACTATGACTAGGACTCTCAAATGTAAATAAGACTTATTATTACATTCCATTACTTCTTGAGGAGTTTCTGAAAGTCTTTGAAGAAGAAGAAGAAGCTACACGATCAACCTCAAGTAGACCATCTATCTCTCGAGAACTATTCTATAAGAAAGCCGGCTTCCATGTTGTATGAGGTGAGATTAAGAACTACTCGCATTGTAACCCCCATCCCCATCCCCATCCCCATCTCCATCTCCATATCCATATCCATCTTCCTCCACACACACACCGAATATGTATATCACCATCAACGTATACCGATACCTGAAAACAAAACCCCACGAGCAAACTTCAAAGATCCTCAAATACAATCTATATACTGTACATTTGCGTACGACTATCCACCTCCCCCCGCCGCTTCGTTCCATAACATTTCACCATACCTATACTTCGAACTTTGAGTAGTATATCTCACAGATCCCGCATCACATACTTAAATGAACTCTCGTCAATACTACTCTAGTAATCTCATTGTTTTATCGATCCTCCCTCCCCTCTTTCTCCCCCTCTTTTGCCCTTCTCTTTCCCATTATCTCCTCTCACCCTCCTATACCCCCTGCAAATCTGAACCCCCCCTCCTCCCATCGAATAAAAGTGAGACCCCGTTTAACTTTACAAACAAACAACCCCCGTGCAAACCCCCGTCGCCACACCACTGCCACTCCTCACCACCACTCCTCACATTCAACCCTATCATTAATTCCATTCATTCCACACAACTCAAAGCTCTCAGCTCCCAAATCCTCAAATCCCCAAACCTCAAATCCCCAACTCCCAACTCCCATATCCCCAAATCTCAAACTCCTAACGCTATAAATCCCCAAATCCCCCACCAACAATAAATCAACACACAAGTGAGCAAGCGAACGACCGAACAACCGAATAATCCATCCTAATTCCAATTTTTTGCCAATTTGACTAGTCAATTTTGAGTCTTTGACTAACTACGAGTATTGATTAGTCGATCCATCAATTATATCTTGAAACGAGTATAGAAGCCTAGAAAGAGGTTCGGGGGTTATACTGTATCATTTAGCCATAGCTATAGATATGTATATATTTGTGTATATTTGTGTATATAGTTTCAGCTACTAGCTTAATTACTTACTTGCCCATTGGTCAGATGTGTACTGCTATATTTGGGGGAAGCGAAGTGAGTTAGAGAGAAATAAGGGGTGATATACAATACCGATCCGTACGTATGATAATATACGATACGTAATATGTATACACATACACAGCGTTCATAATCAAAGATAGTTGACACATTTCTTTGCCCAAGCTAGAGAGAGAGGAGTTATAGATTTCATCAATAGTACCATAAATATATCTCCCCAAAAAGCGCTTCGTAAAGTAAACCCAATCTTAAAGTATCCAATATCCCATCCAGAGCAAAGCAAACAGAAAAGAAACCTCGTTGACCATTTCAACATCAATCCGTGCAATCATCCTCCAGCTCTTCAATCTGGCCTGGTGTCATGACCTTTGTGACCTCTTCTGCCGCCGTGGCGTCAGTTTTAGCTTTATATTCTCGCAGAAGTTTAGCAACCTCTTTATGGCCTTCCATTTCTGCAGCTTCAATGGCAGAAGGATACTTTCTTTTTATTACTTTATGACCGCCACGGTTCGTGCCATAGATTGAATGCGCTGAGGCGGAACCTTGGTCAACTTTCGCACCCGCTTTTAAGAGCGTATCCACGATATTAAAAGCTCCCTTAGCAGCAGCAATCACCAGAGGTGAGGGTTGCTCGTTCCCTCCAGCGTCATACGTGATGATATCGGCTTGATTTTGAATGAGTAGCCGGACCATAGATTCGCTACGAGTACCCCCCGATGCAAAAAATAATGGTGTCCCCAGCGGGGTGATAGCATTGACATCAGCACCTTTATCAATTAAAAGTTGAACCACTTCTAAACTCCGCGACATTATTCCCCCAAATAATGGGGTTGGAATCTGTAAGGGTAACATAAGTATCGGTGCACAATCCGGAAACAACATCTTGCGTCCCAAGTTTCCGCGCCCGTCCCAACATCGGTAGAACTTGGTACAAAAATTAACGTTGTTCAATCCCCACCAGGCATATGCCTGGCATCCATTAATATTATGAGGCTCATTGGTCAGCACTTCCAGCATCTTGTAGTTTCCAAATAGCGCAGCGATTACTAGTGATGATTGTTCTACATCAAGTCGAAACCCAGGCTGGCGCGGGTGGTTGAGTAACAGCCGCACTAGATCAAATTCGTCGCACTCGGATCTTACAAATCTGGCAAGAAGAGATTTCACAGCCTCACACGACAGTGGGCCAGTTTTTGCAAGAATCAGCTTCAAAATAGCAGCAACACGCTCAGGGTTGTAAGCCTCTGCGAAACTGAGGTACCTCAGTTGGTCGAAAACAAGGGTTAAAGAGGAGATGTTAGGTTTCGATAAATTCCCAATTTTACTGGTTTTAAGCATTTTTCATTCTTTAATCAAATTAGATAATAGATTGGTAAAGAGTAGAAGAATATTGTACAGATATTCTTTACTATTATTATATTACTTTTAAAAGATATATCAGTTTTATTAAAGTATACCAAGGCTGTCTTGGATTTTGTAATACAGATTTTTGCAATATTATTTGATAAAGATATTTTTCAATATCTCTCCCATGCTTTGGATAGGATTAATAAAACTAAATATACATTCTGAAAATATAGATTAATAAATCGATATCATATATTATATTGAAACTATCCAAAGTTTTATCTTTTAGTACATTATATAGATTTTATTGAATACTTTGATGCCTTGGATAGATTCAATACAAAGGTTATAAAGACAGTTTATAAGTATCTCATAAAAGCCTTTTTTGATAGAATTAATAAATATTCGATATATTTTATATAAATTGCGAAACATAATATTTGTTTAACGAATTTTCAAACTATAGAAAATATTATATTATATTTTAAATATATTATTATTAACCTTGATCTGGAATCTGAGAAAGTATATACTATTAAAGTAATAAAAAAATCATTATCCTTTTATTTGTTCGGAATTGTATCTATTAGGTTAGGAATATTTGTAAATAATTATATAATATGGTTTGATTTAAAGAGCATAACAATTATGATTATAATCAAGGTAGTATTAAAGTTTTCTAGTTTTGCTATTATAATTGCAATATCTATACAGCAAATGAGAAACAAAGCTGATAATATTTAAAAAGAAATGAAAAAGAATTTAATTATTAGAATAAAGATATTTTATAGATTTATAAAAATTTTATTCAGTTTTATAAAGTATTATCTTATTGGAAACAAGATAGTAAAAATTATATAAATCTTGATATAAGGGTTGAAGAAAAGTTTTCATATATATTCTCTTGGAGATATATAAATGTTTGATATGATTTTTGCTGGATTTAGGAATATGAATATTTATTGTAAGATCAATCATTTGACAATAATACAACGGTTTCTAAATAAAATGGAATATCTAACGATTTTTTAAAAAATTAAAGGATTAGCAAACTATTGAGTATTATTAAGATATTTGATATTTCAGAAATAAGATTATAAAAAAGTTTGGCAAAAAAATGTGAGATTTATATTGGAGTATTTGTGGATATGCTGAAACCTTTGAAAGATAGTATATCAAATCCTATGCATAAAATAATATAATTTATAATATATAACAAATATAACAATATAAATTGTAATACGAATTGTTGTTAGAAATAAGGAAGTTATTATATTTATTCTTTTAATATTATCCTTTGAAATGTATATATGATATCAGCATCATTTGATAATGATATTGATAAGAAAAAGTTTTATGTTAATAATTTTATAAATTGGGATTAATATCAAAAACTTTATTATCTTGAGTGAATAATATTAAGGAATTGATAAACTGTAAAGTGTGAGAAGGAGATGAAAAAAAACAAGATAGTAAATAAACAAAGGCAAACCTAGGCAATTAGAAAGTAAGATATAATATTAGGGATATTAATATTATTAGTATTTAGATTAGTTATTATAATTAATTAATTAAATAAAAAATAATATAAT